GAGAGTATGGCCCCTGGACATCCTTTTAGCTCAGTAATGAAGTCACTCCTGAGGTTCACCCTTCAGCCAAAGATTAGACAGGCCCATAAAACAAAATGAGACTAAAGGGGCACATCAGCCCAGAGGCAAGGACGAGAAGGCAGGAGGGGACAGGAAAGCTGGTAATAGGGAACCTAAGGTCGAGAAGGGAGAGAGTTGACATGTTGTGGGGTTGGTGACCAATGTCATAAAACAATATGTGTACTGTTTAATGAGAAGCTAGTTTTGTAAACTTTCATCTAAAGTACAATTAAAAAAAAAAATTAAAGCAACTCGGCTTGTGGCTGTAGAAGTCCTCAAATGTACCCTTGGGGGCTGGGGACAGAGGGGCTGCTGACCCCGCTTGAGGTGGGGGGAGGCATTCCTCCTGGCTGCAAAGCATTGGAAAAATTTCAAGGTCCCCTTTAAACGAACTCCGGGTGATCGCTAACATGGTGAGGACTGGCCCTCGGACTCATAAAAAACAAACATAATTATCTTAAAGGAATCTATAAAACAGTCAAGCTATCTGCTTATTTTCATAGCTTTTTCTTAACATTTCATATTTTATTTATGTCATTGCACTGATTTCACCAAAAATATGTTTAGTATCTTTAGTTAATTAGTTTTACTAAATATAGTTTATTTTGAAGTTACTTCAAATACAGATTAATCATATTGATGATATTGTAAAATTAAACTGGGTTGTGTTCATTGAAGTTCTGAAATATCTTGTTTTTATTAACAATATGTGTTGGTATGCCCAATTGAATCACTGTTAATTCTAGGAGCATTTTTTAACTTCAAATGATAAGTTGCCTGGGAAGTTTGTAAGAATTTACAAAACTATATTGTCTATGTCAGAATTCTAACTGTCGTGTTGAATCTATTTTCTTTTAAGATCTCCATGGTGAAAGATCCTTTCATTGATATTTCACTGCCTATAATAGAAGAAAGGGTAAGGAGGAAAAACTAATAATGAGGCTTTTGTGAAGAACATTCATTTATTCATTTATTTAGACATTTGTTGAGTATTATGAGATATCTGAGAGTCATTATTTTTTCATATATAATCATTAAGTTTGTACAGTGTGTTTGATGTTGGAGTTTATCTGTGTATGTGTAAAATAAAATATAATTCTTATTATATACATTATATATATATTATGTATAAAGTTATACCCTATGTTTTATATTTGACAGTTAAATGTTAAGGAAATTATGTTTTTATATTTTAAGTGAATTAGAAATTTAAAAAAGTAGATGATATCCATTTTATTTGCTAAAGAAGTTTTGTGTTATGTACATGACATCTACATAGGTTTCAAAACCTGTACTTGTGGGAAGAATGAGTAAATATAGAAGTTCACAGGAGACAGATCACGGTCACTACAGTGGCACTGTTACTGTAGAAAATACTCATCATCAACGCAAAGCCACCAAGAAGCATTCTTCATCTAAAGATAAGGTAAGATTATGTACACTTGTTAGACATCATATTTTTAAAATAACTTTTTGTTAAGGAAAATTTCAAACATATACAAAAGTAGAGAAAATTTTATAGTAAACTCTTTCATGCCCATTAGTCATCTTCGTAATTATCGATTCATGTCTGTCTATATTCCACATTCTCCCTTCCTTATCCTGGATTATTTTGAAACAAATCCCAAGTACATATGTCAGTGTGTATCTCTAAAAGATCAATACTCTTAAAAAACATAACCACAGTGCCATTAGCACAGCTAAAAACATCAATAACGTCTTACTAGCACCAAGCATCAAATCATTGTTTAAATTTCTGCAGTTGTCTCATAAACACTTGTTTTTTGGTTTTGGTTTTTAAAGCTTGTTTGAATTTAGAATCTAAAAGTGGTCTGTAGATTGCAGTTGATTGCTGTGTTTCTTTAATCTCTTAATCTACAGATTACCCACATTCCCACGTTCAGTAGTAATTCATGTTGTTATTGCATCCCCGTGATGTTGTTAGGGTCCTCTAACCTCTGTATTTCCTCTCTAAGGCAGTTATATCTAGAGGCCTAATTAGGTTAAGGTTTAATTATTTAAGTAGTGCTGTATACTTCTACCAAGGAAGTAATGTTTGATATCTTTCCTTAATGTTACCAGTCATTGATGATCATTGTCTAGATCTGTTATTTCACTAGGTACATACCTGGCTGTTGAATTATCCCATGTAAATCTAAATAAATTCCAACTGAATTTGTACTTAATTAAAAAAATACTTTTTTACATGGTATGATCTGTACTAACATGGCAAATTGATATGCTATCAGAGTTAACTTACTCTGTTAGAAGACTCGTTAAGTGGCAAGACCACAGAAAGGACAGAATGATTTCTTTAAATAAAAACGATCTTATCTTTGCTTCATTAGTTATTTATGGCACTTAAATATGATTTCAATATATGCTTTATTCTATTGATATAAAAATGGTGATTTGATAGTAAATTGTTGATAAAGAAGCATCAGCTAAGGAAAAAAAAAACAATGAAAATGAAACCAAGATAGTAACATAAATACTTATGGAGAGAGTTAAATGCCAGTGGAAGGCAGAAGATCTGATCTTACTCGAAGCATTTAAAAAACTAAAGAAATAGTGAAAGGAAACAGTGAATGGAAATTTTTATCGGAAAATGACATGGGACAAAAAAGCATTACCAAAATTGTCAGATACTATCAAACCAAACCCATTGCCATCAAGTCGATTCCGACTCATAGCGACCCTGTAGGACAGGGTAGAACCGCCCCATAGGGTTTCCAAGGAACGGCTGGTGGATTCGAACTGCCAACCTTTTGGTTAGCAGCTGAGCTCTTAACCACTACGCCACCAGGGCAGCCCACTCATTTGTCTACCCCAACCACCATACCATACTCTACATTGCAATCAGAGAAGATTTCTAAAACAGAACTGGTCATCTTGTTCCCCATTGCCTTCAGAATCAGTGGCTTACATGGCTCTTAATACCGCTGGTCCGGTTTTGTATGTTCTCTCCTTCCCACACTTGCCTTCTACCTTCTAGCTAGACTTCCATAACTTCTCATTCTTTCTCTTACCTGTGGTCTTTTGAACTTGCTCTTCCCTCTTCCAGGAACAGTCCCATTCTTCTGCACCCTCTCCTCAATTTCTACCAATTTCCTTTACCCACTCAACTCTGGGTTAGTTATTTTCCTTTGGGCTTTTTTAGCACCTCTTTTTCTCCTATCATAATAATAATTGTACCTAACCTTTGAATTCTTTCTATGTGCTGATCATTGTTCTCAGTTCTTTACATCAGTTCAGTGGAATCAAGAGATAGATTAAGTAACATTGCTAAGATCATACAGATAGCAGGTGGCAGAAACAGGCATTCACACAAGGTCCATGTTCTTAACCATTGTGCGCACTGCCTTCCACTGGCAATTATTTTCTGTCATACTTGCTTCTATTGTGATAGATTGTAAGCTCTGAGACTAGGAACCCAGTTTACATCCTCCTCACTATTGTGTCTCGGGTACCTCATCCAGTGTTTGTACATGGATGGTGCTTAGGGAGACTGCTATGATCATTCCTATGATTGCTACCAATATTAGCAGCTAATGCTGTGTTGCTTACTGTGGACCAGATGCTCTTCTGGGCTTTTATGTGTATTGTCTCGTTTAATTCCCAAAATACCCAGTGTGGTTGGTGCTTCTGTTTTATAGATGAAAAACTGGGATAATGAGATATGAAGTAATTTCCTCAGTGGTACCCAGCTAAGAAGCGGCAGAGTCTCAGTTTGAACCCAGGCAGTCTAGTTCTAGCATCATGCTCTTAACTTCTGCCCTTGTATCACCTCTCTGATTGTAACTCATGTTTCATACAGTTTCAGATATCTTTTCAGCATAAACTTATTAATCCTTTGTCTTGACTTATAATATTAGAACTTAAAGAGAATATTTTCAGTCAATAAGTCTGTGATAAACTCACCAAAACGAGAATGGAAATGGATACTTTGATATTTCATTGGGAGTAGGAAGGTAAAGGGGATAGATTAAATAGTCCTGCTAAAAAGTTCCTATAACTGGCTGATTATCAGCATCACCTGTGAACTGTTTACTAAAATAGATTCTCAAACCCAAGCCCAGACTTCCTGAATCAGCATTTCTAAATGGTAGTGCCTTGGGTCTGTATTTTTAAAAATAACAACAAACCTCTCAGGTGATTCTTAAGATCACCTGGATTTGTAAACCATTGAATTAGAAGTTAGATGAACTGGATTCCAGACACATTGATTATCTATTGGCTAATTGATCTTGAGCAAGTCACTTAAAACCTTTATGGGTCTGTATTTTCTCACTTGACCATTAATATTACATACATAATAGGAGTTTGTAGGAAAAAAAAAGTTACTGTATAAATTCAGCATAATAGAATTTGTAGGATGTTATCGTAAACTTCATTTATTTGTTGTGTGCCCTCTAGTAGACTAAAATATATGATGAAAATGAATGTCTTGTTTTCATTCAGGGAGTTCAGAATACTTGGTAAACATAAGAACCTAATGTTATTATCCTGATTTTGAAGATGAAAAAAAATTGAGGCACAGATACTTTTTATAATTCATCTCTCTTTCCTCACCCCAAATAACTGAAAGTGAATATCCAGTCTGTATGTAATTAATGATGTCTCTCCCTTGTTTTTTGTCTTGACCCTTAAGATAAGCCATAGGAAAAGAAAAAACTCAAAAAAGACTTCAGCTCTGTGAAACCTTTAAAAATATTTCAAATAGCTTAAAGTCTGATTAAATTTGTTGACGTTTATCACCAAATTTAGGTTGTTTTATCTCTGTATGCTTCTATCACAAGAAACAGATTGACGCTACTTAGTCTGGTCAGAAAGCAGAAGTTAATAGGCAAACTAAAGACTAGATGCAAATAAAATGCTTTCTTCCAGATCTGTAGCAATCGTAATGTGTCATAATAGAGCTTATAATTTACTTTTGTTACTTTGTTCAAAAATCAACAAATATAGAAAGGTTTACAATTGAAAAGGCTCCCTCATAGCCAGGTTTCACAAAGCCCTGTTTCCTTCCCTGCAAATAAGTAACCGCTGTTGTTAGTTTCTTGTGTAAAGATTTACTTTTAAATTAGAACTGTTGATTGTAGTTTATATAGATTTAGAAGATGGACTTCAGGGGTGCTAGAAATAGTATTTATTTAATAATTATGGAAAGTCTAAATGAGACTGGAATTTATTTTCAATAAGGTCACAAGATTCTTTTCTCTGAAAACACTGTCAACTTTCAGAATCAACTAATTCGTGACAGAAAACATGTAAGAAAATTGTCATCGGGAGAAGAGAAAACTGTTGTCATATATCCGAAAAATGAAAACCTTGAAATGAATGGAGATTCTTCAGTGTCTTTTGCAAGCATCATGAATATTGAGTCAACTCTGAATGAAAGCCCTACTGACGGCAGTGAAAAAGAAGCCAGCCGTTCTGAAAGTAGTGTTGATGCTGACAGTGAGGCCTCAGAATCTGAAAGTGCTTCAAACCAGACTGTGTTGTTTAGACCCAGTAATGTGTCCTGTGTATGCAGAGATGGACCCATTCACCACCCATCAGCAAGTGAACTGCCATACACCAAGGAGACTGACAGTGGTGATGAGGGAGTGGCTGATGCTATTTCTCAACTTCATTTGAGCAGCACTATAACTGGAGGTAGAGATCTTGACAGAGAAAATCAGCCACTAAATATTCCAAATAATTTGTGTTTTTCAGAGGAGAAGCGTATGATATCTCACAGCCCCCAAAATGCTTTTCAGACTCTCTCTCAGAGCTATGTAACTACTTCTAAAGAATGTTCAGTTCAGTCTTGTCTCTACCAGTTTACATCTATGGAATTACTCATGGGGAATAACAAGCTTCTTTGTGAGAATTGTACTGAAAAGAAACAGAAATACCAAAAGGAAACCAGTTCTGCAGGTAAATATTTAGCTTATTATTATTATTTTATTATTGATAATCTGATAGTAACTAAGGGGTTATAGATCCCAAAATAAGGGAATCTCAGAACCTTGTCTCTAGGCCAAGACTCTTGGGATTAGGGATTGTTTTATTCATGATTGTGTCTCAGCACTTAAGACACCGAATAAGCACAGTAGGTTTTCAGTAGATTTTTGCTGAAATAAATTGAGACGTATCCTTTTCTGCCTTGAAAATATAAATCCATATAATCTTATTTCAGAGGACTAGCTGTCTGAAATCTATCCAGAAGTAATATCCCTAAAATTTATCATTGTATCACTAGTGAGATTAATGTGCTTCATAAATCCTATCAATCGATTATAAATTCATGACAAAGTATAAATTTGAACATTACAGATAATTGTATGATGTGAAACTAGCAGTATAATAGCTATGTTTAGATGAACAGGGAAAAGGGGTAATTGGCAAGTAAGAAATTTCTAGTGTATTTCTAGCCTTGATTAAATGGAGAGAATACTTTGATCTTCACTGACTAGTAATTAAAGAAATAGATACCTGGATGGCACAAATGATTTGTACTTATCTACTATTGAAAGGTTGGTAGTTCAAATCTACCCAGAGGTACCATGGAAGAGAGGCCCGGTGATCTGCTTCTGTAAAGATTACAGCCAAGAAAGCCCTATGGAGCTCATTTCTACTCTGTAACACATGGGGTCGCCATGAGTCGGAATTGACTCAGTGGTATCAGGTCGAGTTTTTAATTAAAGAAATGTCTAGATAGGAGAAGGAAGAAATATCATCTTACATTAATCCAAGATAAATATGCAGTTGGCTTCATTCAAGTCCTATATAAGTCCTTTGTAACAATCTCTTACTGAGACACACCATGATTCCCAATGGTGTGTATTCTCCCTTCACTGCGGTAAGTAATAAACCCAACTTGTTCAAGTATGTTGCTGGCGGTTGTTGGCTGAAGGATATTGACATAAGTTACTACTAGTCCATCAGCTTCCCAGCTTCCAAAATTTTGTTGCAAGTGTTACCTCTCCTATTCTTTGTCTTTATAAGTGTGTGCCTTTTTAAAAAAAAACCCTTTATTGTCATTTTAGTGGATTTTCAGAAAGGAGTAGGGGCACCCTATAACTAGAAGTTCAGTTTCTTTTTTAAGCCTTTTCAAAATGTGATATAATAGATAATATATAAAAATGGAACTTTACAAATAAACTTATTATATTTTATGCAGAAAAGAAAGCAGAAGGGGTTTATACTAATGCCAGGAAGCAATTGCTCATTTCTGCTGTTCCAGCTATCCTAATTCTCCATCTTAAAAGATTCCATCAGGTAAAAGTCCTTGTTAGTCATTTTTATCATGTGTTCTGCAGAGTCCTAAGTCCTGTAGAATATTGTCAAGTATTCGACAGTAATTTGTTGAATTTAAAAATTTGCCAAATGGGGTTTACCGCTTTTCCAGCCTTCATAGTTGACAAGACATTTCTGATTAAAATTGTTCAATTCACAATATTTGAAGATTTGGGAGAAAGGAACCTACATGTTGTGTGTGTGTGTGTGTGTGTGTGTGTGTGTTTTAGTGGAAAATAAAGCTTATTAAGAACACATAAGTAGGTAAGTAGTAGAGTACACATGACTTTCTGAATCGTCATGATCCCACTGAGAGGGGTGCTTGGGTAGGCATGGCTGGCTAGGTCTAAATGCAGAAAGGGTGCCAAGACAGAGCCCTGCCCCTGTAAGAGAAAACCTAAATATTTTTAACATGTCATGATTTTCTCCAATTATTTATATTTTCAATCCAATCCCTTGTGTCAATGAGGTGATTTTTTTGAATTTGATAAAATAATTTTATAAAAAGTTAAAAGTTCCTCAGGAAGAAGGAATAACTGAAAATAGTAAAACATTTTTGAAAAAGTTAGGATGGGTGGGTTTTATTTTTTTTTTTAATACTAGTTTTAAGATAGAACTATAATAATTGAAACAGTAGGGTCAGAATAGTCAACAAACAAAACAGTATAATTTAAAGCTATTATGATAAAGAGCAATCTCAAATCAGTTGAGAATGGGGGTTGATTATTCAGTAAAGGTCTTGGGAAAAATGCTTGGGAAATAATTTAGAGCTTCACTATACTATATATCAATACTATTTACAGATAATTTTTTTAATTGTATAAATCAGTGAAAAGACTAGAAGAAAACTTAAATGAATATTATGACCTCTGTGTGGAAAACTTTCTCAGTATAAAGCCCATGAAAGAAAACACAAGGAAAAGATTGAGAGCTTTGATAATATATCTACAGCATTTCAGGTGGGCTACAGATTGGCAGGAAGAGATTTTCTCTATATCCCCACTCACAGAAAAATTAGATTAAGTCCTTAATTTTCTATAAACAGGGTTATAGAAACTCACTGGAAATAAAATGGTCTTGGAGAACCAAAGCAGATGTCCCATTCTCAGCACACCTTCTTTTTACCTCAGAATACTTAATGGAAAGTGTACATATGTCAATGACTCTGTCTGAACAAGATAGGGACATGTCAGATTTAAAAAGCTAATTTAATGATATGCCACAGTTTGCATTTGGTACTTGACATTCCTATTTAGGAAGACCCTACTGAAAGAATCCATGCCCTTACAGGAAAATATTTATAGACATCTTGGTCCCTTCATGTTCTCAAGCTAGATGTTAGTGTCATCAAAGCCACATTCTCATTCCCAGGGGTTCGGAATTGTAGGGAGCAGAGTTCCTAAGCAATGTCTCTGCTTCTAGTCATTCAGCATCCCTGCAAGCCTCTTTCTCTGTAGTGGCTTTTGAACTGTGTTGTCAGAAACATCCATAACACTTAAAGGCAAATCTCAAACTGGATAGATACTTGTCATAAATATGGCAGATTGTTAATATCCTAAATGTATAAAGAGCTCTTAAAAATAAGTAAGAAAAATATCAAGACCCTAATAGTAAAATAGGAGTCCCTGGGTGGTGCATATGGTTAACATGCTCAACTACTAACCTAAAGAGATCTGAGTTCACCCAGAAGTGCCTCTAAAGGCAGACCTGGTAATCTACTTCTGAAAAGTCAGACATTGAAAACCTTATGGAGCACAGTTCTACTTTGACACACGTGGGGTCACCATGAGTTGGAATCAACTCAACAGCAACTGGTTTTAATGGTAAAATGTGTAAAAAAAATGAATGACAGTTGATCGAAAAGGAAATACAAATTCTAAGAAAGTATGAAAAAAAAAGTCCATTGTTTCCAGCAAAAGAAATGCAAAATAAAATGACGGTGAGATGCCTTGTTTAACCTATCAAATTGGCAGTTATGATACAGTGTTGATGAGGATGAAGTGGGATATGGGCACTCTCATGTACCAGCATTGGGAGTGTAAGTTGGTAACACCTTTTAGAAAGTAATTTAGTAATGTGTATGAAAAATATTAGGTAATGTTTTGAATAAGCCAATTTTTGAACAAAAGTAATCACTTTTAACTATGTAATTCCACTTCTAATAACTTATAGCAAGGAAATAGAGATACACAAAGATGTGTGTCCCACTCATTGTAGGTCATGGCAGGTGTTAGGCCTAGCCTAAGTGTCCAATGTGCAGATCATCAGATTTGTATTTTAGTGACATTGGGAAAATACTTAGAATATATATCATTCAGTTAAAAGAAAAAAAGGCCCAGATAAAGGCTAGATATATTCCAAAAATTATCCTCTAGAAAAAAGATTCATATTATGTTAAAGACCTTTACATGTCTCTTTTATTATGGGGTAATTTCTCAGAGCAAAGTACTGAGTGGGGAGGACACATTTGCATGAAATGATTTCAGATGCTTATAGAGGTCATATAGGTTACCTGATAAAAAATGAGGCAAAGAAATTCTGTGGCATATCATAAAATTAAATTGAAAAAGGTTAAATAATTATTCCTGGGGTATGACCTCATAATTTCATGTCAGATGTCATGGTAAGCCTTCTGAAGATCATTTGAAAAAACAATAAGTGGATGTGTTTCAGCCAAAAACAAAGGTTTTTTGGTTTTTGGTTTTTTTTTTTAAAGGTACAAAATAAACAGCCAATAGATCTGTGGTAAAATTATATGATTACTATACAAATTAAAAGTACTAGTCATTGAAGTCATGAAGCCCTGCATGAAAGGTTGTATCTGTCCGTTTTTGTCTCCCCAAACAACTCAGATTTACAAGTTCATGTTCCAACAGAGTCCATTTCTACTTATGGGTCTTCTACCCAAGACCCTTGACAGTCCATCAGTTAGTTCTTATTATCATTACATAATGCAAACTATACATTTTTGGGGGTCTATCTGTCTTTGGAAATTAAAAATAGAAAAAGATGGCACTCATTTAAGCTTATGAAGGTTCATTTTATTTTTATGCAGTGTATGACATTTACTTTTATTGATAAAACATTTTGAATGTTCAGTATTGTCTTTCTTTGTAATGAATATCGTTGAATTTTAGAACTGAGAAGGACCTATCTAATCCACTTGTATCTGGCCTGACCTAGATGAGTCTGCTGAAGCTGAATTCTGAAAATTGCCTAGAGTCACACAGTTAGCCAATCATTGAGTCAGGCCTAGAACACCAGGTTCCTGATTCTTTAGTCTGATGCATTTTCATGATAGCATGTGTCAGTAGCTTAGCTTTCGTCACATTGGATTTATTTTTCCATAGATGTTGAAAAGCCACAGTGAAAGTAAGTATTCCCATATTGATCATTGTAAAAATGACAGTGTAAATAATCTTTGTAGTAACAGTGTATGAAACCTAATTATTAATTTAGTCATTTGTCAATTTTAGACCATTAGTCACATTTTTATATCTATAAAAAAACTAACTTCTAGGATTCCTCTTGGTTTTAATTAAAACACTGTGCTTTAGATCTAATTTTATTGCGTTAAATGTTTTTTTTTGGTCTTTTTAAGGCTGGCTTGAGTCTTCGAAAAGTAAACAGACATGTAGATTTTCCACTCATGCTTGATTTAGCACCATTCTGTTCTGCTACTTGTAAGGTACAGTATATTATTAAGATATTTAATTGACTTGAGAATAATAGACTTAAAAATATCCTATGTACTTATTTGGCCATGCTTTTGTTGTTGTTGTTGTTTTAATAAGCTTTTTCTCTCAAAGGGAATTTTATAATTAGTGAAATTAAATCACTAGTATTTAACACACTGACTGTGACTTTTGTCCTTTGGGAGACAGAATAGGGGAGAGTTGAATAGATGGCATAAGGCAGTGGTGCTCTTGAAGATCAAAGCTTCTTGTAAATGCTACTAGAAGCAGATGGTTGCTCAGAGAAGTAAGCAGGTTTTATGCCCAAGGTTTTCTATTGGTGATGAGCTTAATCACCAATAGTTTCAACATTTTGTAGTTCTATATATTTTTTCAAATCAACGTGCTAGTCAGTGTTTTCGATGCTATTTTACATCTACTTAAAGAAAAAAACCTAACCCATTGCCATCAAGTCGATTCTGACTCATAGCAACCCTATATTGTGTACTACCAAGTAGTGTACTTGTCAGCTGAGTATAATACTTGAAAATTGCTAATACTTTAAAAATTAGGTTTATAAAGTAGATTGGTTTATAATTGCTTATACAAAGTCATTGATTTCATCTATACATTCCTTTGACTTCCTTGAGGAAGTTACACGGTAACACAGGGTGCTGTACGTAATTACTGGCTAGCAGTCTAGTTCTTTTTGGTATGTGACAGATTGCTTATTAAACTTAGTATTTCAAATACACTGATAAATCAAAACAAAAATATCTTTAAAATGCAATTTTCTGGTGACTCCAGTTCATTTGCTGTGGAACACCAACACCATCCATCAATTATTAACATTCAGACTTTGATAATATGGTAAATAATAATGATGTTTAACAAGCTGCAGCAGTCTGCTTCCGTAAAGATTACAGCCTTGGAAACCCTATGGGGCAGTTCTACTCTGCCCTATAAGGTTGGCATGAGTTGGAATTGACCAAACGGCAGTGAGTTTGGGTTGGGATATATTAAATTTATGAAAACAGTATATTTTTTAAAAATTACCTGTTAGGAGACTTTCCAGTGTACACAAAAGTACACAGAACAGTACAATGAATCCCTAGTACTTGTTCCCATCTCTGAAAACCTTAAATCTGTGGCCAGTCCTGCCCATTCACATGCTTATCCACTTCTTCCCTCTTTATTATTTTGAAGTAAATACCAGACATTGTATCATTTCATCTATAAATATTTTACTGTGTATCTCTAAAAGATAAGAATCTTTTCCCCACTTTTTAAAATATATTATGGTTAATAATACCACTTATACCAAAAATATTAACAATAATTCCTTCCTATCACCTAATGTTCATATTTCCAGTTGTCCTTTTTTTGTTTTGTTTTATGAATTAGGATCCAAATAAGGTCCACACATTATAACTGGATGATGTCTTAAGTCTCTTTTAATCTGTAGTTTCCTCAATCCCATATTTCTCCTGTCCTGCCCCTTCAATTTATTTGTTGAAGAAATTGGGTCAACTTTCTGATAGTTTCCAATAGTTTAGATTTTGATGATTGTTCCTTTGTCCTCTTTATTTCCTGCAATTGGTAGCTGCAAGCTTAAACAGATTCAGGTTTACGTTCCTTTTGCTTTGTTTTGGTTTTGGCAAGGCTATGTCATTTCTTTCATTAAAAAAAAAAAAAAAAACCATTGCCTTTGAGTCGATTCCGGCTTATAGCGACCCTACAGGACAGAGTAGAACTGCCCCATAGCGTTTCAAAGGAGCGGCTGGTGAATTTGAACTGCAGACCTCTTGGTTAGCAGCTGAGCTTTTAACTACTGTGCCACCAGAGCTCCATTCTTTCATCAGGAGGCACATAATGCCAGTTTTCTATCTGTTTGTGACATCAGCAACTAGTGATGTTCACTGTTAAATCCATTGGTTCATTAAGTGTTACAGAATGGTGATGTTCTAATTCTGTCATTCCTTCTCCATTTATTAGCTAGAATACTTCTGTAAAGAGAAATTCCTTTCATCTATTTAGTTATCTTTTGGTATAGTTCTTACAGGAAAGGCAGTATAAATGCTTGATTCCCCCCCTCCTTTTTTAAACCAGTTTTTAAAATAATGAATTCGTTCACTAACATCCTCAAACCATGACCAGTTAGTTTCTCATTATAGATTAGTGGATTGAAACATCTTTGATAGTTTTAATCCACTAGATTACTTTTTTAATACATACTCTAGTATATTATTCTAATGAGTCCACATTTGGCCACTGGAAACTACTTCGCATTGGCTCCTGGGTCTTTTTGACATGTCCTCTGTGATGTTTTGCCACCAACTGGATATACTATTAATTTGTTTAATTTTTCATATTTAGAGATTGCTTTTTAAATTTTAATTTTTTTAATAGTTACATAAAATATTTACCAAGTTCTAACATCAAATGTTCGAAAGAAGATAAATTCAAAGAAGTCTAGCTTTTCTCCATGTCCGTTCTGCCTGTTTCCTCCCTCTTCTTATAGATAACCATTTTTAAAAAATCATGATTTATCCTTTCTTTGCTTCTTAAAATGTAAGCAGACAGGTATATATATTTGTGTTCCCACTTTAAATAGTGGTAGCTTACTATATGTACCCTTTTTCCATCTTTATACCCTGAGGACTATTTCATAGCAGCGTATAGAGATGGTCTACATTCTATTTTTTCAAGCAGCATAATATTCTACTGTGTGGATGCATCATTCAACCAGTCCCCAATTTATGGACATTTGAGTTTCCAGTCTTTCGTTATTACAGATAATCCATTAATAGTCTGGTGCATGTCTTTTTACATTTCGTTCTTATACCTATGTGACAGAATCCTAAAAATAGAATTGGTGAATGTAAGAGTAATATATATGTAACTGAGCTAGATAATGGGGCCCTGGTGGCACAGTGGTTAAGTGTTTGGCTACTAACCAAAAGGTCGGCAGTTCAAATCCACCAGCCACTCCTTGGAAGCCCTATGGGGTGGTTCTGCTCTGTCCTATAGGGTCACTATGAGTCGGAATAGACTCGATGGCAACAGGTGATGTGGTGAGCTAGATAATGATAATAATACAAAGGAATTGTACCTTTTTGCAGTCCCACCTGCACTGCATATAACAGTACTCTCTTTCTCCACAGCCCAGCCAGCAGAAAACGTTGTCAAGCTTTTCCATTATTCCATTTTGTGGGAAAATATCTCAGTGTAGTCTTAATATGCATTTTTCTTCTATATACAGGACATATATTTGGCTTAATTTTCTTATCAGTGATATTTCACTAAATAGTACTAATTTGAGTTTTTTTCTTTGTTTAAAAGAATGTAAGTATGGGAGATAAAGTTCTTTATGGTCTCTATGGAGTAGTGGAACATAGTGGCTCGATGAGAGGAGGCCACTACACTGCTTATGTGAAAGTGAGAACACCTTCCAAGACCTTATTGGAACATATCACTGGAAAGAAAAATGTACCTGGTATGCCATCCTATCATGAAGATGAACGAATTTGTTCTGCCTTTTCTGATAGAGATAAGTTATTATTTCATGTATACCTCAAGTGGATTCACTTTATGTTAAATGAGAATTACTTCTAAGAAGGGTTTCAGGCATCATGTATTGTAGTGGAGTATTGCTTTATTTAATGATACCAAAAGTTTTTGAAGATATACCAGCTCTTCAGAATAGAGTTGGAGTTGAAAATTTGCTGGCTTTGCTTATGGGTCAGCAAACTGATTTTTTTCTTTCTCTTCTAGTAAGAATGATTCTTCTCCATGAGCAAATAACTATTTGCAAGGCTATCTAATATTTCATTAGAATTTAAAATAAAGTGATACTAATTGGAGATCACTATTAATTATCTCTGTAATATTAATGCCTTATGCCTTAAAAGAGTTAGTTCACTTTGGAAGAAACAGACTTTTGCAGTAAGATCTAGCTTAGGTAAATATAGATTGTGATGAATGTGTTGCTGTTTATAACTTAGAGTAAGAACATAAAACATTTTACTTCTTGTTTTGTTAGGTTTGAAAGAATCTGAGAGTGAATCGGCAGGACAGTGGGTCCATATTAGTGACACTTACGTGCAGGTGGTTCCAGAGTCAAGAGCACTTAGTGCACAAGCTTACCTTCTTTTTTATGAAAGAATATTATAATTACCTGTTCATTATTAATGGCAATGATTATTTAGATCACTTTCATTTAAATGCTTCAGTGATAACTGTAATATGTAATGTGCCTTTGTAGTTGTCTCTCTTCTATAGGGATAGCGTGTCTCCCAAATGTTCCCAAACTTTTTCACCACTTTTAGTGAACCCTTTTAAAGTAAATTAAATGTATTCAATACTTTCAGTTTTATATTATTACATATAAAAACATGCTCTTTTCAAAATATCTGTCCTAGAATAAAACCAGAGTTTACAGTAGTGCAGGAAACCCCTTTATGGCCCGTTGTTACAAGGATTTATAAATGATGCTGGCTAAATCAAATCATCCCTTAAAACAGCGTTTCCCAAATGTAAGTCACATACCACCTTCCTGATTTCATAGCTGTGTGTGTGTTATATATATATATGTGTGTGTATATATATATAATTATATGTGTATGTATCCTTTGCTATTGTTTACTTATGTTTTTTTGTTGTTACTCTTTTTGTGGCAAAAATATATATAACAAAACGTTTACTTATTTTTTTAACCTTATTTTTTAGCCTCACTTTTTTTAACCTTAGCCTTCCTCGTTTTGAGCAATAATGTTCCATATTTTATGTGTTAGTTATATTTTTTTCTAACAAACAGTAAATATGTAACTTCATTCATGTACCACTTAAAATCATCTCAGGGATATCCAGGGGTATATGGTACTGCTGTTTGGGAAGCACTGCCATAACATATAATTACATGAAGTAATGCCTAATATGACATGGTTACCTTACCATATTTTGTATGATTCAGCCATATAAAAAGATACCATTGTAATTTCAGTATTACAGCTTTAAAATCAATATATTGATTAGCTTATTGCTTATTGATACTGCTTATTGATACCTAAGCTTTTAGCTTATGAGAGCTAGAAAAATACTGAAATAATTTTATCAGCATATCACTTGCAATTAGCCTGTTCTTAATAGAGTTAAGGGTAATTTGCAAGTAGTTAGCCAAAGTCAAAATATAATTATAGATTATTGTAACAAGCAGAGTTGATAAATAGAAGTTGCTTATCCATATGGGACCATATAGTACCTTTGAAATATAATCACCAAATTATATTTGTAAATGATAAGAGAATTATATTCTTATTATACTTAACAGGGAAATATATTTTGTAGTTCTGTGTATTTCAGTAAATATTAAACATGATTTTGGGGTTTTAGATGACTTTTTGTCTTCAGCAAGCATCAGTGGTAAGTTTAAGTGGATTTAGCTTTTATTTAAATGGGCATAAAGTTAGCATGTCTGATTTTCTTTTTAAATATTAAATAATACTGAAATATAATAGTTTCCCCCTAGGATACAAATGACTAAGCTGTCAAAACTTAGCAGGAAAGGTATTACTATTATTTAGGCTTAAATTTCAAAAAATAATGGCTACTTCAGTGTCACATTATTGAATCAAAACACATAATTGCATGGTTTAAGCATCCTAATCATTAATACCAACGAGTGATACTACAGGCAAGTGCTGGGTAAATGCCTAATCCCAGCTCATTTTCTTCTTGGGAATGTAAGAATAGTAGCTGTAGTTAACCAGGGCTGCCTTTTGACATATGGATGAATGGTGATTAGTGTTAAAGATGGTAATAGTATACAAAATGCAGAGCTTAAAAATGCACACTGCACAAATTCTGTTTTTAAGCTCTCAGAATATTAATAGTATTGTTTTTCTTGATTTTTTTTAATTTTTTTTTTATTGTACTTCAGGTGAAGGCTTACAGAAATAGTTTCTCATGAAACAGTAGTACACATGTTGTTTTATGACATTGGTTAACAACCCCACAACATGTCAACCCTCTCCCTTCTCAACCTTTTTTTTTTTTTTGGTGAAAGTATCCCTTTCCCAAGATACCCTTTTTCAAAATTTCTACATGCACAGTTCAGTGACATCGACTATGCTCTTTCAATTGTGCTGCTATTCTCACTTTAGATGAAGGCTTACAGAAATAGTTTCTCATTTAACAGTTACTACAAATGTTGCCCTATGACAATGGTTAACAACCTCACAACACATCAACACTGTCCTTACTCAACCTTGGGTTGCCTATCACCAGCTTTCTTGCCCCCTTCTGCCTTCTGGCCCTTGTCCCTGGACTGCTGTACCTCATTAGTCCCATTTGGTTTTATGAGGCTGTCCACACCCAGGCTGAACAGTGAACCTCGGAGATGACTTCACCACTGAGCTAAAAGGGTGTCTGGGGGCTATACTCTCGGGGTTTCTCCCATCTCCTTTAGGCCAGTAAATCTGGTCTTTTTTTTTTGTGAGTTAGAATTTTGTTCTACATCCTTCTCCAGCTCTGTCCAGAACCCTCTGTTGTTATCAGTCAGAGCAGTCAGTGGTGGTAGCCGGGCACCATCTAGCTGTACTGGACTCAGTCCGGTGGAGGCATTGGTAGTTGTGGACAATTAGTCCTTCAGATTAATCTTTTCCTTGTATCCTGTTCTCTTCATTGTCCCTTGCTCCCGAAGGGATGAGACCAGTAGAGTATCTTAGATGGCCGCTCACAGGCTTTTAAGACCCCAGACACTACTCAACAAGGTAGAATGTAGAACATTGTCTTTATAAACTGTGTTATGCCAATTGAGTTAGATGTTCCCCAAGACCATGGTCCCAACAGCCCTCCACCCAGCAGTTCAGTCCCTCAGGGAGTTTGGATGTGTCTGTGGAGCTTCCATGACCTTTCCTTGTACAAGTTGTGGCTGGTTTCCCCCGTATTGTGTACTGTTTCACCCTTCACCCAATTTTCTTGATTTTTAACAGCAAAATGAAGGAGAAATATATCTTTGTCAGTTAATGTTATGCATAGTCAGGTTGTGCCCTGTAAAAGGTAGTTCATGTGTTTCTGTTTAATTGTAATAGTAACATTGGAGATTCAGTACCAGACAGTGAATTAAAAAAAAAAAAAAAAAATTAGTTAAATCTCCCTGTTGAAGTCAGCCATCTTGGTAATGACAATTGCCATTCTTTGTTATCCCCCAGAATATAAATATTAGGTCTCCTGATTTTTTTCCTATAGAAGTTACTATTATAAGGCATATACTTTTCATTGGATAGTTACCTGTTTCATGTTTCTTAAAAAAGGGAGAAAGAAATAAGTGTTCTTTTCTGTTGCCTCTTGGCTCATTCCTTACACAGTTGAAGTCAGAGATGGTGAGTGATGACTATTTCTTCAAGAGCAAGAATAAAGGAAAGTGCATAGTTCTTTTCATTGTTAGGCTCCTGAGAAATGCATCAGAGACGTATATTTATCAAGTAGGAGATCTTTTAAGCTTTGCTGTGAATACCAACTAATACTACCTAGTTTTTAATTGAGTGATTGAAATATTGTATGTTTATAACATTACCTTAGTACTCAAGTATTACAGTAGTTTTTATGCTTAACTTGACATTTATTCTTTCAGTATATACTTACTGCACACCTGCTACATGTCAGGCACTGTGCTAACACTATTTTAACATGTTTTAAAATGGAAAGACATATGGGTTTTAGGCATTATTCTAGAAGTAACATACAATAACATATTTTCATTTCTTTAGTGTTAAATGAGCTAATTCTGAAAATTTTTTTTTAATGATCTTGAGTTTATGAATGTTTTTCCCTGGTCTTCTAGAAATGGAATAAACTTGATTTTAATACTTAAGAATTTCCTAAAGATAGCTTTTGTAATAGGAAAAGTATGTTAAGTTACACATAGATCTATATTTAAAAATTGTTGTAATTTTTAATATTTCTAAAGCACATTTGCAGAGATATTAAATGATGAGGCTACTGTAATAACAGTGGTTTTCCAGTGACCTCAGGAAGCAATACAAATAAATGAGAATGTTTACAGATCTTCAACACAACTACCATAGTGTTTGAATGAATTTAAGAAGTAAAACAGACACATTTCACTAGCTTTCCTTAGAAACTGGTTTACAGGGTATGTCTAACCCCAGTTTCTCCCTAGTTTTCCCATATTTAAAATAAAGTTTTAATTGTGCCAATTATGTGAATATTTTTGAGACAACAGTGTATGTCTGTATTTAAGATTTTGCCATTTAATGCTTTTAAAAAATGAGGTGAAGACCATCTTTTTAGATGGCCAAGGAGAGTAGTACAGTACTATATTTAATAGCTTTTAGCTTACATGTGTGATTTTATACACTAGCTGAATAACATTTCCTGAAGATAAAGCTGTGAAATACATCAACCCTTATCTAATTTTATAGTACAAAACAGTACCCTGCCTACTTTTCTTAAACTTATAATTTATTTTTCTGCATGATATCTGATCAAATAAACCCAAATCAAATATATATTATGTGCAATAAAATTGAGCCTTTAGATAGTATCTGGTATATTATTAAGAAAGACTATTTTTAGATATTTAAAATTATTTTGTTCATGAAAAATCATCAATGCAAAATTGTTTAAAAGCTGGGTAACTATATTTTAACTTTTGAATAACGTGGTTATAATGTCATACCTACTGTTTCATCTTTACATTTTTTACAGTGTTTTTTAGAAAATAGCTGTGTAGCTTATTAAACATTATTTTGTGTTACTGTATAAACATGCATAATAAATATTCTTATTTACCTCATATTTCAAGATTGGTCCTGGAGTTTTTGCAATACATATTACTGACAGAATGTTTTATCTGTCAACACTGTATATGTTTACTTAGCTACATTCAAAATATCCTTCATATTTTAGAAATTATTTCAGAACAGTATCTCATTGTGGGCCACTTTCACCCGGATTTCAGTATCTGCTAAAGCATGAGCCTTCATCCTTTCAGATGTTTCACAAAATGTTTAAGTTATTTAACAACCTAAGTGCCCATCCACAGATGAATGGATAAACTATGGTACATACGCACAATGGAATACTACACAACAATAAAGAACGATGATGGATCTGCGAAACATCTCACAACATGGATGATTCTGTAGGGCATTATACTGAGTAAAGTCAATCACAAATGGACAAATACTGTATGAGAACACTACTATAAAAACTCACAAAAAGGTTTCTCACAGAAACAATCTGATGGTTATGAGGGAGGGGAAAGGTGGGGAGGGAAAAACTAACAAGACAACAGATAAGTGGTAACTCTGGTGAGAGTGAAATACTACACAATACTGGGGAAGTCAGCACAATTTGACCAAGGCAAAGTCATAGAAGCTTCATGGACACTTCCACACTCCCTGAGGGACTGAATTACTGGGCTGAGGGCTTTGGGGATCATGGTCTTGGGGGACATCTAGCTCAATTGATAATAGTTTATAAAGAAAATGTTCTACATTGTACTTTGGTGAGTAGCATCTGGGGTCTTAAAAGCTTGTGAGCAGCCATCTAAGATACTCCACTGGTCCCAACCATCTGGGAGAATGAGGAAAACCAAAGACACAAGGGGAAGATTAGTCCAAAGGACTAATGGACCACAACTACCACAGCCTGCACCAGACTGAGTCCAGCACAACTAAATGGTGCCCAGGTACCACCACCAACTTATTCTGACAGGGATTACAATAGAGGGCCCTGGACAGAGTTGGAGAAGAATGTAGAACAAAATACAAACTCAGAAAAAAAGACCAGACTTACTAATTTGACAGAGACTGGAGAAACCCTGAGAGTATGGCCCCCCAGACACCCTTTTAACGCAGTACTGAAGTCACTCCTGAGGTTCACCCTCCAGCCAAAGATTAGACAGGTCCACAAAACAATAACATATGTAGCTCAACCATGTACACGAGACTAAATGGGCACACCAGCCCAGAGGCAAGGACGAGAAGGCAGGAGGGGACAGGAAAGCTAGACAAGTGGAAATGGGGAATCCAAGGTCAAGAAGGGGAGAGTGCTGACGTGTCGCAGGGTTGGCAACCAATGTCACAAGACATTATGTGTATTAATTGCTTAATGAGAAACTAATTTGCTCTGTAAACCTTCATCTAAACAACAATAAAAAAAGAAAATGTTTTAAGTTATTTAAACCACAAAAAAAACTAACCCGGTACTGTCAAGTTGATTCTGACTCAGTGACCACATAGGACAGAGTAGAACTGCCCCATAAGATTTCCAAGGAGCAGCTGGTGGATTCGAACTGCTGACCTTTTGGTTATCAGTCAAGCTCTCAAATATTGTGCCATCAGGGCTCCTTAAGTTAGGTGGGGTGATGCATTAGAAAATATTTTGTCTACCTGTTTGCTTGTTTAACGTCTTCGGGGAGTCCATGGAGCTCTTTGAGATTATGTTGAAAGTTACAGACTATCTTTCATTTGTTCATTATTTATTGAGCACCTGTTATGTGCTAGACACTGGGGATATATCAGTGAACACAACAGACAGAAATCTTACTAGGAAGTGAGGAGACAGACAATCTAAGAAGTGAGGAATAAGGAAAAGACAGGTCAGATGGTAAATGATACGGAGAAAAAGTCAGCAACATTGCTCAAAGAGCCATATGTGAATTAAAGTCCAAGGGATGAGAGATGTCCTGGGGATAAAAGGTGTAATGCGACATTAGTCTTGATAATCCAAAATAGGAAGTTATGAGTGTTGGGGAAGAGTGGGTTTTAATTCTGGTGGCCCCGCTTTACTCCTGCTAATGGCAACATAGAGGCTGGGTAGGAAAATCTTGATATTTGTATGTTTCCAGAACAATGAGTGTCCAAAATTTTCACGTCTTTTCAGAGGTTCATGGGACCCTAAAGCCATTTTCATACATTTTTAAAGTTGCACCCAAGCAGAAATATCTAAAATGTTTGCATTC